CATCATACGATACAAGTAGCATGATTCCAAGTTCCTGCCTAATTGAAACTTGGGTGATGAGAATCTACTAGGGTTGTGCATGCGTCGGTTTGGGTCGGTTTTCGACCCTAACCCAACCCAACCTGTAATAATAGGTTTCTGGTTGGTTCGGTTTCTGGGGTTCGGCTATCGGTTTAGGCGGTTTCTCGGTTTCTTGGGTTCAACCCATACACTTACGGTTTCTAGGTTTAAACCCATGGGTTTTGGGTTTAAACCCATTTTCTAGAAATGGAGAAATATGTTAAATAATTCAAAAACACCTAATTGAAGTTAAATACTTAAAAAAACATGAGTTTTACAACCAAATTGTCTATTACAGCCAAACACACAATCAAACTAAAACACACAACCAAACTAAAACACAAAGTCCGAAATTGTCGATTAGACGCCAAGTGAGAAAATGAGTATTGAATTCGATTTACAGATTACGCCACATTTACGATTGTAATATTAAATATTGTGTTTTTTAATATGTACATGGTTCGGTTTTACGGGTTTAGTGGGTTAGTTTTACAGATTTAGTGGGTCTATTTCTATGTAAAAACCGAAACTGAACCCAATTTTTCGGTTTTTTAAAAAATTTAAACCCTAACCGTCGGTTTTGCTTCAGTTTCGATTTTGTCAGTTTTAATCAGTTTATCGGTTTCTTGGTTTGGGGTTGCTCACCCTTGGAATTTACCTTATTTGTAAATTTCTAACACTACCACAAATAACATAACTAAGAATCACATCCATTTTCAAATATTGCTACAATATAAACACACAAACATCAATTTTAACAAAAGTCATTGCAAGGATATATAAATAAATAAGACAAAACAAAATTTATTTTATTTATAAAAGTGCGGAAAACTTGTCCTTACAATGCAATTACAAATGAAAACTATGTTACTAAACATTTCTAAGCAAACTATCCTAATTCTAAAGCAGCAACTCAAAAATCCGATCTTCGAACCATGCAATCGAAATCCATTTCTTCGTGATCACACTCAAGTCACTCTTCCTTTAAGCTTCCATTTTTTCTTTGATCCTACAAAACATCAAAATGCAATCTTATCACATCATGTATTAGGAATCTATAAATACGAACTTAATAGAGTTAGATAGTGGATTTACCTAAAGCAAAGTCATACATCTATATATATATATATATATAGATACTAGCCGTTTACCCGCGCAAAGCGGCGGACGACAAATAGTTTGTTTCGACAATTAATTTCTTTTTGATGGAAAATGATTATTTTCAATTCAATCATCAGTTTGTTTTAGGAAACATGTTATATTAAAAATAAAGAAAATTCATGAAATTACCAATTATAGGGTGTTAAGTATTTATTTGGATGAATATATATATATATATATATATATATATATATATATATATATATATATATATATATATGAGTTCGTGTACAAATGAGAGTAAGATGTGAAAATGGTAAGAACCAATAGGAAAGAAACATGTGTATTAGAGTAGTTGTTGTTTTTATATCACACGTAATTGTTTGTTTTTTATAAATTGTTTAATTAAAAGGTTATAAATGTAATTGTATTTTGTAGTTATTTTTTTTTAATATAACCGTAAGTGAGAAGTTAGTAGACGGTTTTCAAATTGATGTAACCGTTTATGCGTAATTGTTTCAAGGTCTACGTTTATGTTGTTTCAAATTTTATTCAGAGGGTTTTCTTATAGGTTTATCTATATTAGATTATGTATTTCAACATTAATCAACATAATGTTTGCGTTTAAAGCTTTGTTAGATGCGAAAGTGAACAGGAATAGGCAAAGTTTGAATTCGAAACTCATGAAGAAATTTACAATTGCATCTCAACGAATGGTATCCAGGAAGAAGGATTATTTAAATGAGAATGTGGTTAAAGTTGATTGCATTGTTAATTCTCGTGATCATCCTATAGAAATAGAAGATGATGAAGTATCTGAAGGGAAAAAATTTATATATGATGAAGTTAAGAAGGAGAGTAAGTTATGATTTGTTGTTGATAATGTTTTTCAAATTAACTTACGTTATCAATTTTTTTCGGTTTGATTTTGTTATGCTGCATGTGTAGATGATGAGAGTCCAATTGAGATTTATTCCAGTAATTCTAGGAATAAGACAATTGACATTTCATCTAGTGATTCTTGGAAGAAGAAAAAGCCAAGGAATAATGTTATTCAGTCTGATTATAGTTCGATGAAAAAGAGAAAACATGGTTTGTTTGGTCGATTAAATTCAAAATCATCTGATTCAGAAGGTTAGTTTTTATTATGTGGTTATTATTTAAGTTTATTATTAATGTAGATTATAGTTTTTTTTTGTTGGAAATAATTTAGATTATGTAAGTGATTCTGATTATGAAGTTCGGAGCATTACAAGGAGCAGGAAGTTGGTTAACAGAAGTGATAGAAAAGTTAGTAAAAAATTGTCTCCGAACATGGTAAACTTGAATATAATGTTTATTATTTATTGTGTTATTTATTTATTGATTATGTTTTATTAATTTTTTTATATTATTTTACAACGTTTGTATGTTGATAATTTTGTTCTAGAGTTTTCTAGTGATTCTGATTTTGAGGATGGTTCCAGTAGTAGTGTGAAGAGGGTGGATAATATAGCTGATAAGAAAGTTAAAAAGAAAATGGAGTTGCATAGTGATAAAATAAAGTCATTGTATTCTCGTGTTTCTCTTCATTCTATATATGGTGTTGTGAAGTCTATGAATCATAAGCAAAAAGAATGTGTGAGGAATTTGGGATTTGGATCATTGATAGACATGAAGACTCAAAGTATTCCAGCAAAATTATGTTATTTTGTTGTTGATTCGTTTGATCCTTTAGAGATGGTTATTAAAACTGAGGTTTCTAATATTTTGGTTACAAGGGAAGATGTTAATAGGGTGTTAGGGCTGCCTATGCGGATTGATCAATTAAATAGTGTTGATTTAAGAGGTAATGAGGAATGGTATGAAATATGGAAAGATCAATTCAAGAAGCCGTTGTCTTTAATTACTCCAAATGATGTTGTGTACAAGATAATAGAACGATGTGAAGCAGATATGGTGTTTGTTGCAAACTTTATTATTCTTGTATGTACATGTTTTGGATCATGTAACAAACAAGGTGCATGCAATTTGAAGCTTCTACCGTATTTGTCTGAATCATATAAGTTAGATAAGTTTGATTGGTGTACGTATGTTTAAATTGTGTAAAAGAGGAAAAGTTGATTTGGGGTAGAAGTGATATTAAGACCTTCTTCAATGGTCCAAGTGTCTTTCTAACGGTATGTAATTTAATGTTGTTTGAGTAAATATTTTTAAAATATTAGTAATATTTATATTTTGTTATTATATTTTGTTTTTTTTTGTAGTTGCTATATGTTGATAGGATTCAATGTAGGCAAATGTTAATGGTTAGAAGATATCCAGTAATTAATAATTGGACTTTAGAGCAGTTGAAAGTGAGAGAAATGAATGAAATTTCTAATGGAGGTTTTGGAAGGCCATCTGCTACAGTGGAAAGTGTTGATGAAGTTTATAGAGGATCAATTTTAGTAAGTAATGTTATTTGTGTATTTTTGAAGATGAACTTGATTTATTTGTTTGTATGTTGTTTTATGTTTAAAATTTAAGTTATATATATTAATTATAATTTGTTATGTTTTTTATTGTTATCAGGAGTTTCATTCAGAAATGAAGTGGTGTTTAGTAGATATGTCTAAGAAAGTGGATAAAGCCTTTAAAACGCATGGAAATTTGAAAATAGTAGAGTTTTATGGAATGAAGCTGAAAGAGTTATGTTCTGCATATAAAGCTTTTCGTCATAGTAATTATAAATGTGAATATCCTTTTCAGTCATCTGGAAAAAGTAGTAGTTGTGATGATAAGTCTAATGAATTTCTAGATGTTGGGCAGTCTATTAACAACAGCGTTGGTGGTAATAAATATGGATCGGCAAATTCGTTTGGCAAATCTGGAAATATGGAAACTAAGTTGCATGTGGATTGCGAGGGTGGTCATAAGGAAAAGTGTGTAGTAGAGGGTATTCCTTCTTTCAATTTAGGAATTGATGATGATATGCATACTCCTCCAAAAGTGAGTCCAGGTGTTGTTGTTAATAAATATGGATCGGCAAATTTGATTGGGAAATATGGATTTATTGAAAATAAGTTGCCTCTGGATTGCGAGGATGGTCATAAGGAAAAGTGTGTAGTTGAGAGTATTCCTTCTTTTAATTTAGGAATTGAGGATGATATATATACTCCTCCAAAAGTTAATCCAGGTATTGATAGTTATGTGGACAATAATTCTGTTTCTGTTGGAATAAGTTCTGATTCAGTCAAAGGGAAGGAACCAAAGTCTTGCGATGAAAGTGAAAAAGTTAAAATTCTTGAGAAAGATATGATTTCATCGAGACCAAAGAGAAGTCAAACGTTACCTCCAGTGCTTAGGTCTCCATTTGTTGTACGAGCTGTTGAGATTGATAGTAATTTGACGAAGGAGGAGAATATCAAGTCTAATTGGCTATTCAGTTTATGTGGGAATCCAACGTAATGTGTTTGTGTATATGTATATATATATATATATATATATATATATATATATAATTAATATTTTATTTTTTTTATTTTAATAGGGATGATCTTTTTCATAGCATAAATGGTCAACGTGGTGAAAGATACATGTTTGAGAGCTTATATCCGGAGAATTTCTTTTTTCTGGGACTATTGATTGTTTTGTTGAAGTGTTGAACTATGATGAGAGAGCTAGGAATTTGGACACTCCTTCATGTTTCTTCTTCAAGACAGCAGTATTGGTATGTATAGTAGTTGTTAGTATATTTTTATGATGTTTATTGAACTTTGGTTTTTTATTTAGGATCCTGCATACATGCATAGTGAAGCATGTAAATATGATGATGTGTACGAGAATTTTAAAGAAAATGTTTTTCATTGTTTGGGAGAGTCTAAGGAACGAAGAAATTTAAAAGGAATTGATTTGGTAAGTTCAATTTTTTTTTGAATTTTATTCTATTTGTGTTTGTATCTTACTATGAAGTTGTTTATGTTTATTTAGGTGTTCTTTTGCATGTGCAAACAGTCACTATTTTGTGTTTGTTTTTGATTTTAAAAACCGCAAAGCTGTCATATTGGACAACATTTTGTATAGATCTTCTGAAAAACCATACCCACATCTAACTCAAAATCTGGTAAGTTTGTTTGTATTTTTTTGTTTAAATGTTTATATATATATTAATGAGTTATGTATATATTTTTTATAAATTATATTGAATTTTTGTTTATATTTAAATGCAGAAATATATGTTTGGTAGATATCTTCAAGACATAAAACATTTTATGGCTTTTTCAGTTATGTATGAAATGGATTTGTTGATCAATATATGACGTGGAAAACAAGAGGTAACAGTAATGATTGTGGGATTTTTTTGATGCGTCATATGGAAACTTATAAAGGTGGTCCTTTAGCTCATTAGAGATGTGGGTTTAAAATGGAAAGTGTTGAGCAGATTATGCAACTTAGAAATCTTCGAAGAAGATATTCTATGAAAATTCTGTTGAGTGAAGTTAATTTAATGAAAAATGAAGTTGAGCAACTTCTTGTTGATTATCAAAAGATTTCTTCAAATGACAGGCGTGTAATGTATCATGAAGGCATTATCAATATAGCAGCTAGGTTAGCTGCTTTTGGTCCTTGATATATATTTGTTGAAGTAAAATTCAAGTCGTTATGTTTATGTAGAAGTATTAATAGTAATGGTTATGAATGAGTAAGTAGAACAATTTGTTATGAAGTTTTATAAATGTTGTTTGTTTTTGGTTGTTATTTGTTTTGGTTTTATGTAATGTACTTCTACGAACATAAGTTTATAATAATATATGAATAGTGTGGCTAAGTTTTTTTGGTTTTGATTTTGATTGTATATGTATAATCTTTTATAAAGTTAATATATTTACAATCATATATAATATTAACATATATAAGTACATAATATCTATAATTTTTAAAACCATCATATCTAAAATTTTCAGAGTAAGATATCAACAATAATATATAATATAAACATTATATCAACCACCATACATAATATTTAAAAATATATTACAGTCCCCATTACAGTCATACCAAAAGTTTGATCACATAAACATATTATAAAGACGTCCAAATATTAATAATAACACCATTTACTTAAACCCAAAAACCCAAAACCCAAAAATTCCAAATTCCCAACTTTTCACCTTGCAGCTTCATCTACTTCCCCAGAAGATTCACTTGATACTTGGTGTAATCCAAAGCTTCAATGAGTTTGTCAACATTGATCCAAAAGTTGAATTTGTCAAAAAGCATGATCCTAGCCTCCCAAACAGTAATTTTTGGATTTGATGCAACTGATGAATAGAGTTTTGTGCACAGATAACTGTTTGTTGCAAAGTTTAAAGTATTTGGGAAGAAGTTTGTAACAGTGGTTTGATTATGCTCCAAATAAACTTGTTGAACACAAAAAAAACCTTCCGTTTTAACTTTTTTGACAAAGTTAATGAAATCATTCCAATAAGCAAGCTTGTTTAGACCAACGTCTAAGGGAGCAAAGGAGACTAGAGAGTATGCATATGTTTCTCAACATCATAACCAAAAGAAGTTAAGATGCTTTGAAATACCTTTGGGGAGAAAGTTTCAACCTCGATGAAGTCTATATAGTCAATCTTGCCTCCATCGTAATCGCGATTTGGGTAGTATTCGAAATTTCCTCCATGATGTAGCATCATCGTGAAGTACTTTTTGTTGTCCCACCCTGAATGAATATTGAAAAGAATATTATATAAGTATTAATAGTATACGATTGTAACAATAAAGAACATACCATATGTGTCGTAAAGATCAAGATAATCCGAGGTGTTTCGAACTACCCAAAGGGATGATTCAGAAGCCATCAATGTATGTGTTTTCTTCCTTAAGTTTATGTTTATGTTTAATAGGAATATATAGCGGTAACAATCGGAGTAAGTAGAGGAGTAATTAATTTTCTGCCATCATTTGCTTCAAAAAGTTGTATAGCTATTTTGGCGGTTGTAGGTTTAGCTAATGATGTTATCTATACATTGAAGATGATAATACTTATCTTTTTATGAAAGTAATTTTTTTTTTTTTGTATTTTATAAAAGTAATCGGTATATATTACCTATTTTTAATAAGTTGATATATAGAAAATAATTTTTTTTGTATGTTATAATGTGATAATAGTGTTGTTATTGATTATAGTTTTACATATTTTTTATGTTAATTTTTTTTAAATATAAATTATAAAGTTATTAGTAAATGAAAAGGTTTTTATGTGAAAGAAATGTATGTATTTATTGTAATTTTGGTGTTTTGACTTCTCTATTTATGAATAGATTCTAGTAATAAATGAAAGATTTTTGAAATCATTTAAGTAATAAATTTCGAAAAAAGTATCATAATTTCAAATAGTTTATTACTTTAACAATTCAAAATTGGGTTATCAAAAAGGATATGATAAGAGTTTCATAATTAACAAATGAGACAAAGATAACTTGCACATCTGTATAGTTATCTATAAGTCATTAAGCTCATTGATTTCCAAAAGTCACCAACAACCGTTACGTACTAACCTAAAGACATGTATGTCAAAATAATATATTACCTATTTTTATAAATTTGATATATAGCAAATATTTTTTTTTATATGTTATAATGTGATTACAGTATTGTTATTATATATAGTTTTTACATTTTTTTTTCTTTAAATTTTTTTTAAATGTAAATTATGAAGTTAGTATTAGATGAAAAGGTTTTTATGTGATAGAATGGTTTGTAGTTGTTGTAAATAAGTTGATATGACGTCTCCATTTATGAATAGATGATAAGGTTTGTATGTGAAAGGGTTGTATGTATATATTGTATAATATATAAAGTCTATATTAGATGAAAAGGTTTGTGTGTGAAAGGGTTGTATGTATTTATTGTATTTAAGTGATTTGACTTCTATATTTATTAATTTTTTTTTTCTAATTGTAAATTTTGAAGAGATTTAAGCAATAAATGGAACTTTTTATTAGGTAATATAGTATTATATATTTTTAAAGATTAGTTGCGTATATAAACATGTGTAATATGTAATATTATATTTTTCAATCTCATTAGAGTTAATATTTTTAATTGTACATTTGTATTTATTGTAAATAAGTTGATTTGACGTCTCCATTTATGAAAAGATTTAACTAATAAATGAAAGATTTTATTAGGTTATGTAGTATTATACATTGTTGAAGATTTGTTGCGTGTATGTACATGTGTATAATATAAAGTCTCTATTAGATGAAAAGGTTTGTATGTGAAAGACATGGTCAAAAGAGTTAATTTTTTTAATTGTACATTTGTCAAAAGACATGGTCAAAAGAGTTGGAGAGAAGATGTTGAAGGAAAAAGAATAGGTACGTAATTCAAAATTCAAATTGTTTAATGCGATTAATAGTAATAGTTTTAATACAGAGAAGCTTAACAACAAACAAATTTAAAATTCATATATAAGTTACTGATGTTTTTTGAAAGGCCTAAGCACATTTGAAGGATTTATTGGGCAATTTCTTATATCATGGTTGACGAATTGGTTGCATCCTTTGCATTTGCGTTTTGGTTTAAGTGCTTTTGCTATTGCTTTTTCTGCAGCACTTTTGATTCGACTCCTCTTTCCACTTCCTTTTGTTTTTATCTCACTTGGTACTTTGATTTTCACATCACTTGAAATTGGAACTCCAATGATATTTTCAATCACATCTTTTATGGGAATTGAACTTGATCTTGTAGAAACATCTTTTCCACAAGTTTCACTTAATTGTTGAAGAGAGTTCACCAATTCTTGTAGTTTTTCTTTATCATGAATAACCGATTCAACGCATTTTTCAAAAAAAGAAGTTGCATCCTGCAAGAGATTTGAAATTTCTGTACTGCACACTCTCCATTTTTTGTTTATCTTTTGAAAACCAATATCCACTATGTTCTTTCTCCATCTATCCAGAATGTATTTTTCAGGTATCATGGCAATGTCATAATCTATAAGAATTCTGAAAGCATGACTGCAAAGGATTCCAAAAAATGTGAAATGCAAACATTCACATTCAATTGTTTCATCTTTTGCATCAAAAGAAACCTAAGAAGTAATAATAAATTTTTTTATAAAAATATATTTATAAATTATAAATAATGTTAAATTAAAATAATAATGAAGTAGCATAATTGAATACCTTAAATTCTGGTCGCTTGCCTGATTTTAGTTCTTTGTAGACAATTGTGCATTGTTGAAGACCATCAATCAAAACCGAATTTTTTTGAAAACACTGATAGAATGCCTTTTTTATTTGTTTTTGCACTTTTATGAATGCTTCTCGAGTGTATACCAATGATGCATGCTTTTCTATTTTCAAATTTTCATTTGGAAATAGTAGTTGTGGCAAAGTATCTCTTGATGCAATGTCTAATCTTTTTTGTTCATGACGCTGCTTTGAAAGTGCAGTGTCAAAGTTGAACATAAAATTAACAAGTAAGTTTGTTGGACTTGAGAAAACATTGAAAAAGGAATTAGAACTTTCAGATCGAGATGTAGTCTTCATAAGTCCACACATTGGTATATCTCTGAAATAGGATGGAATCCATTTATCTCTCTTGTTGAACATATCAGCCAACCATTTATTTTCCTTCAAATGAAACTCATTCAACATCAAATCCCATTTGTTCTCAAATTCTTTTGGTTTAATATTCATATTCCAAACTAGTTGATTTATTCGTTTCTTGAAATCTGTATTTGAAACTAAGTCAGCTTCAATCTGTCATGTTAAATTTGGTTTTATTAGTATATTTTCATAAGCTATATGTAATTGTTTAAATTAAATTTTTTGTTACCTTTGATGGCATTTTTGACATTATGTGCCACATACATAATCTGTGAGTACATCCTTCAAACACCTTTGCTATTGAACAAGATAATGTTGCATCCATGTCTGATAGAATCATTGTTGGTTTCTTCTTATGTGATGACAAAAAAGCTTCTACAACCAAGAGTATGATTCAATTGTTTCATCTGATATTAGTCCTGCTCCAATGTTGATTGTTTGTCATGATTGTTTATTGCAGTGAAAGGAACAAATATCATATTGTACCTGAAAGTATTTGTAAAATTTATCCCTTATTATGTAATATTATGTAATAATATAAATTTTACCTGTTTGTTCTATAAGTAGCATCCATTGATATAAAATCAGAAAACTTATTGTAGTTTTCTCTTCCTGTTTCATCAACCCAAAACATAGCATTTAGCACATCATCATCCAACTTATATTGAAAATTGAAATTTTGATAATTATCTCTGCGAATTATCAACTGGTCTACAACACATTGAGCACCATTTGGTCCAACAATATTTGTATAATCTCTCCAAAAGTTTTTGAAATCATTCTTTGTTGCTGGCAAATTATCATATCCTCCCTTTAATGATGCTCTTAATTTGTGTGCTTTTGTGGCACCAATGTTGATAGTTGAAGCTTTAACAATTAGTTCTTGATCAAAAATACTAAGACGATGATTTGGAGAGCAGATGTTTTCTTCATTAAATTCAGTAAGTGGATGGTTATGAGTGTCTTCAAAAGCATATACAGTGATTATATTTGTTGCAGCATTTCTGTCAAAACCAATCATTGCCATACATCCTGTGACCTTAGAATATGATTTTCTTTCCTGTTTTTTCAGTCGTTAGGATGTAAGAGTATCAATGGTTTTTTTTTTTGGATTTCCATATCTGTTGCATCTTACTTGTTTTTTCCTTAGACTTAGATCCCCGTATTTGGTTGTTGTTCCTAATCTAATTCCAAAACCAGCAATTTTTGCATAATTCCTGTACATTTCAATTCCTTCATTTAAACTTGACACAATTTGTCCTTTTTTAGGAATGAGATTTTCAGCAACATGTGGAATGTACACATCATCTTGAGTTATGTAAGATGTTCCTGTCAAATATTCAAAAAGCTCAATATTTAAATATATTAAATATGTTCATAATTATGTATTTAATATAAATTAGGTAAACATGCCTTTATCCTTTTCTTTTGCTGCTGCACTTGTAGTTCCTTTTGAAAGTTGAACTTCAGAGTCAGTTTGTTTATTTTAAAATTATTAGTAATTGTTCTATAGAATTTAGTAATCTATCTTAAATTTAATTATTGAATAACATCAGAAATATTCATGTTAATATTTATTAAACTTGCCTTTATCACCATTGTTGATTGTTGATTCTGAAGGTTCAATAGTTAAAACATTGAATGAGTCTTCCGATTCATTACTTCCTGTCCAATATCCAGAAAGATTATTGAAATTAGTATTTATATGTAAATATTTAGTACATGAAATCTAATTAATCATACGATTAACTTTTTTTTTCTTTGGATCCTAAACATCAGTTTGAAGGTTAAAATTACCTTTCAGTATAATTGTAAAAATATATGTAATGAGTGTGTATCATAGTATTGTAATGTTAGGTATTTATAATTTTTTAATATTAGAATCGAAAATATAGTAATTATACAGAATGAAAACTTGCCTTTATCAACATCATCTAACGTTGATATTGAATTTCCAATAGTTAAATTTTGGGAAGATTCCTTTGCTTTATCAATTAAGTAAGTAGAACAAATATCTTCATATTCTTTACTAGACATCTCTTCAGTTTGATATTGTAACTTATAAATCAATCAAAGATTTTAATGGAGATGTTTTTGTCGATCATAAACATACGGAAGAAGTTAGTTTCATATTAATATGTCAGTTTTGGGTTGCGGTTATTTATATGAAGAACGATTTCAATCACTATTTTATGTTAATTACTATCTTACCCTTTATTATTATATTTAAGTAATAAATTGAAGAAAACATGAATAATGATGTGGCAATATACGATTAGTTCTTTCATTTTCACATATAGTTTGCATTTTTGCATGAGCCTTCCCTTATATATATATAGTATTAATTATGTTTTTATTTTGACAAAATTTCACGATTGGTCCCTGTGGTTTACACAATATCGCACTTTGAGGACTTTCTAGCAAAAAGTCACGCGAATGGTCCTTAAGGTTTCATTTAATTGCGCGATTGGTCCTTGACCCTAACCCCGTCATTTTTGAGCCGTTAGTGAAGGGGTAAATTTGTCTTTTCATCTTGCAGTCACTCTAATAATCGATCATTATGCACATATACGCATGAACTCTGTAATTAAGTACAAAGATCATCTTCCTCAGCTACCCATTACCCTTTCGCATTCATCTTCGTCTTCTCCAACAGAACACAAGGCAGGGGATCATCTGTCGATTGAAAACGATAATGGTGTTAACGTTATGGTCACTTCGTTCCAAACACACTAAAGCATCAAATTATGATTTGGAAAGGATATACCGTAAGTGACTTACTAAAGTGATCTTTGATTTTCTCGATTTGATATTATGCCCAAATTGTTGAATTTTTTTTTGTTATTCTTTATTTCAGAGGGAATAAGCAACTATTTCACTCTGAAAATCCATCATGGTGGGATATTCACGAAAAGCCCTGGGAGAAGGTACGTAGATGGAACAATAGACTATGTTGACTTCGTAGATATTGACGTTTTCTCTGTGCATGAGTTGGATACAATGGTTCGAGAAATAGGGTACGTAGAAGGGCAAACTTTGTATTATCATTTTCTTATTCCAGAAGTAGAGTTGGACATTGGTCTGTTACCTCTAGGAAATGATGGGGATGTGCATGTATTGTCAAATTATGTGGAAAAAAATAACCTTTTAAGTATCTACATAGAGCATGGGCATACAAGGGTTAACAGTTATTTTTTGTCCCCCACCAAGGTTATTATTGAGGAGTTGGTTACTGATGTATCCCCTGAACTAGATAGGAACCAAAAGAAGGGAAAAGTTGTTGGGTCTTCTAGGAAAAAATTAGAATACTCCCAGTCCATTGTGCCATATGGAACATTTGATGGACCTTCACAAGTGATACAGGATAGTGAGCCAGTTATGGATGATGAGCCAGTTATGACTGATGAGCCAGTTTTGAATGATGAACCAGTTATGAATGATGAACCAGATTTGAATGATGAACCAGTTATGAATGATGTACCTGTTATGAATGATGTGCCAATCATAGATGACCAATATGATGAGCCAGTTATGAATAATGATCCAGTTGTAGATGATGAATATGATTGTGAGGATAGTGCAGATGAAAGTGATTTTGATAGTCAGCATGATGCAAAAAAATAGTGTTTGATGAGGAACCTTTGATAGATGATGTGGAGGTGAACATGATCAACTTCTGTAGTGTACTTGATGAAGACATTGACTTGGGCCAGCTTGATCCGACAAACAATAATACTAAGGAACATGAAGACATTGAAGATGAACGTTTAGAAGTCTTAGACAATGATGTATTTGAGTCATTTGCTAGTGAAAAAGAGCCTAGGAAGAAATTGTTAAGGTCCATTCTAAAACCAGTTGCTTGTTCATCTGGTGAGGTTCACACTAAAGCTTTTAAGATTGGTCAGACGTTCAAGGAAAAGGAAAAAATAAGAGAAGTTATTGCCAACTACTCTGTAAAAGAAAGGAGGGATCTACATTATGTAAAGAATGACAAGACAAGAGTTAGGGTAAAGTGTTGGGGTATTGTTCCTGAATTGACTGGTGACAATAATAAAGATAGGGGCAATTTAGTACTTTCCAAGAAAACAACTTGTCCATGGGTTCTTTTTATATCTAGGGCAGATGAGAAACAACTTTGGACTGTCAAAACATACGAAGATTCTCATTCTTGTTTGCAAACAAGGACAGTGGGGGCTTGTTCATCTAAGTTTCTAGCTAACAATTATGTATTTAATATAAATTAGGTAAACATGCCTTTATCCTTTTCTTTTGCTGCTGCACTTGTAGTTCCTTTTGAAAGTTGAACTTCAGAGTCAGTTTGTTTATTTTAAAATTATTAGTAATTGTTCTATAAAATTTAGTAATCTATCTTAAATTTAATTATTGAATAACATCATAAATATTCATGTTAATATTTATTAAACTTGCCTTTATCATCATTGTTGATTGTTGATTCTGAAGGTTCAATAGTTAAAACATTGAATGAGTCTTCCGATTCATTACTTCCTGTCCAATATCCAGAAATATTATTGAAATTAGTATTTATATGTAAATATTTAGTACATGAAATCTAATTAATCATACGATTAACTTTTTTTTTCTTCGGATCCTAAACATCAGTTTGAAGGTTGAAATTACCTTTCAGTATAATTGTAAAAATATATGTAATGAGTGTGTATCATAGTATTGTAATGTTAGGTATTTATAATTTTTTAATATTAGAATCGAAAATATAGTAATTATACAGAATGAAAACTTGCCCTTATCAACATCATCTAACGTTGATATTGAATTTCCAATAGTTACATTTTGGGAAGATTCCTTTGCTTTATCAATTAAGTAAGTAGAACAAATATCTTCATATTCTTTACTAGACATCTCTTCAGTTTGATATTGTAACTTATAAATCAATCAAAGAGTTTAATGGAGATGTTTTTGTCGATCATAAACATACGGAAGAAGTTAGTTTCATATTAATATGTCAGTTTTGGGTTGCGGTTATTTATATGAAGAATGATTTCAATCACTATTTTATGTTAATTACTATCTTACCCTTTATTATTAAATTTAAGTAATAAATTGAAGAAAACATGAATAATGATGTGGCAATATACGATTGGTTCTTTCATTTTCACATATAGTTTGCATTTTTGCATGAGCCTTCCCCTATATATATATATATATATATATATATATATATATATATATATATATATATATATATATATATATATATATTATTAATTATGTTTTTATTTTTAATAATGCATAAGAAAATGTTCAGTAGACAAAATAAGGTTTTCTAACAATGAAACGTATGGTTTTGGGAACAATTTTAATGTCTTTTTTTTTGCAAAGAATGATTTAATTTGTAACCTTGAATGTTATTGATCGTGTTTGAACACATTCAGTGATTATAGTGTTTTGTATTAGTTCTGTTAGTTTTTGTTTTGTTAGTTAATATATAATTATGAGTTATTTTTCATAAAAGTTCAAAACTTTGTAACGGGGAAAAATCCCCGATTACCCATTAGGGATGGGGATGGGGATAAATTCCTAATTCCCGATGGGGATGGGTATGGGGATGCAGAACATGAAACCCGGTATACCAGTACCCATTGTCATCCCTAGTAGAAACGAATGGACTCTTTTGGAACAACACATGAGACAATCTCTAATTCAGCTTTTCTCTTTACCATCCAGTCAAACGGTTTGACTATGGCCAATCCCTTTCCATTGGGAAGAGAAGACTCTTCTGGACTTCCAATGTTGCCATTTTCAATGTCCATGGAAGTTTGGGAGGTTGATCTACTACTAAAATATTCTTTACCCGTACGCCAAATCATTGCTGATTCAGCAACAATAAGCAAATATGTAAGATCAATGAGGGACACGTTGTGGTAAATCATATAGTAATCTTTAACGAACTCAACATATGATTCAGGAAGTGATTGAAGAACCAAGTCAATAGCTAACTTCCTTGAGACAGCGACACCCAACATCCCTAACTTGTCAATATGCAACCTCATATCCAAGACGTGAGCACATATAGACTTTCCTTCTTCGTGTTTGCTTGCCAATAGGGCTTGAGTGACCTAGAGCTTTTCAAGTATTCGAACACGTGGGTCAGGGAGAATTATTGGAGGAGGTGTAGCAAGTGAAGAACGATTTTTGTTTCCATGATCCAATCGTGAAACATCATCTTCATGTGGAAAGCTTTTTCCCAAGGATTCGGGAAGACCAAAGTTAGATTTTGACATCTACAAAACAGGAGACATTCAAGTTAGTTGATTTAATCCTTACTATAACACCCAAATGAAATATTAAGGCTAGGACCCAACACAATATTCTACAACTCGGAAGAGGGATGCCGTAATCAAATTGCAGAATATTTGAAGGTAGGTAAATGACGATTTACCAATTTCCAAAATTAGGTTTTAAATGAATTAAAACTCCTAGATATTTTGAGATTCATTGAACTTTTCAATGGCATGTTTAATCTCGATTATGCTCTTTATGTTTGTGACTGAGATGTCGAGGATCACAAACAAGGTGTAAATAATCATGCAATTTAGCTTGGTACTCTCGAAGACGTATATCACCTAATTAATGTGTACCGGTTAACCACACACGCTCCATTGATCTATGATAATCTACGAGCTACCCATTGCCATCCTTTATTGGTCCCATATTAGTGTGCCTGCTAACCACACACGCTCCACTAACGACCAAAAAGGTGCAATGTGCAATTTCATGGATTAGCACCAAATTCACAATTTTTCCTAAAGTAACTAAGATTTGGTAATTTTGTAAAAGCATTTAGTTACTTTATATTGTTCATTATACTTATTAATGTCCTATCCTACCGGTTCGGCTAACAACCCTCCACTAGTCAAGGAAGCGTTGGGTGAGAGTGGACACCCATTCAATCGCCATTGTATAGGCAATTTACTTTTACCCCCCTTATAGACCAACTTCGTGAATGAGGCCTACTAACGGTAAGACTGACTCTTCTTATACATACATATATATATATATATATATATATATATATATATATATATATATGTATATATATATATAAGTATTAAACTTTTAATATTATAATAGTATAAGGGTGTATTTTAAATATTTCAAAATACTGGGGTTTTTAATCAAATTTAAAATTTTCGAAAAATTAATACCTTTTAATTTTAAAATCTTAAATATTAAAACTATGATTTAATAATTATCCAAAATTAAACAATTAGTTTAAATTATTAAATCTTAAAGGATTATCCATTAAATTAAATAATTAATTTAACCTAATCCCTTTATCCCCTAGATTTCGAAAATTTGGGAAGGGATATTTCAAAATCTTTAATTATCCATTTAACATTTAATAAGATAATTACCAAATACAACACTATACTAATCCCTAAAATTTTGAAATTTAATATTTGGGAGGAAGGTTTTTTCGAAAACCCTAGGGTTTTCCAACCCTAAATTGAAAATATGGGGCCAAAGGAAAAGGGTTCAAGAAACCCTAACAAATTTCGAAAATCCAAGCCCTAGGGTTCAAGAAACCCTAACAAATTTCTCTCCTTCATGAAAATGATTATGAGGAAACGATTTCACTAGGAAGATTTTAAGGAGATAGCGATTGTTGAAATTGCATTCTCAAATCCGATCATGATTACATCATCCCTCTTCATGGTTCGAATTGTGAGATTTGGCAATTAGTCTGAACATTTGGAACTTATTGATATAAGTTCTGAAATAGTTTAAACACACATATGAGACTTCTAATAAAAGGTGTACAAGCTTAGATAAAGTCTTATCGAAGCATCATGTATCAGAAATTTGAACTTTGGTAAGAATGTCAATCAGCATTGATTTCTAGAAGTCTAACTGTTTTATGAGTACATGTCAAAGCTAGTGGGAGCATAAGTGTTCTTTAGGTAAATATATAATTATCATGTTAGTGAGAGCATGATTATTATGTTGCAAGTTAGAAATATTAATTATAGAAAACAAAAGTTTCAAGTCGTAAAGTTGCAGGCGTTGAAAAGTTGTTTTTGCTATAATTAAGGGAGAGAAACTTGTACTTCATTTCAAAATCTAAAAGCTTAGATCAAGAAATTTTAATCAAATTTAGTCAAAGGACATATATGAATGTTATGTTGAAAAGGTTCAACATAAGGGAATTCTATATAAGAATATTGTAGCAGGAGACTGGTAAAGTATCATGTCTTTATGTAAGATATTATGTATCGTATCCCATACGCTTCGGGTATAGGATCGACTGCATATTCTATAATATTCGACCGTTCTATCTATTCCAAATGCCTAGGGCATTAAGAGGGCAAAGGGAATCAGAACTAGATATGAATAAAGTAATTTAAACAACTGTCCAGGACGATCTTGTTGGAATAGTGTCTAAGGCTGCAACTATATTAGGCAAGTACTTGACCCGGTTGTGCATGGTCCTTTTGGGTTGCCTTCACCAAAGCAACTTGATTGGAGAAATAAATAGAGAAAGATGTTATTATGATTTATTAATATGTTATAAGAATAATATATTAAAGGAGAAATCATATTTGTTTAATTAATATTGGTCAATAATTAATTAGGAATTAATTTTTGTGATCAAGTGTAATTAATTAAACTAGAGGGGCTGGATTGTAATTATGTGATAGTTGCAAAATAGGGCAATGGTTATCCTTGTTAAAGGATGGACGAATTCAAGGATAAGGATATCCTTAAAATCGTCCAAGGTCCAAGAGATAAGGGTTTTCAAGGCTTATCTTGTGGTTGCTTGGTGGGCAAGTAACTAGATAAGGATAAGGACTGAAACACTAATCCCAACCCTATATAAAGACCCCTAAGGCCTTAGGATTTCGTCCACTTGATCCCTAGAGAATCTAAGGACGATTTCTACCTCCTCCCTTCTCTCTCTATAGCCTTTCCAATTTCTTGTGGTGTTTGTGAGCCATTAGAGGCACTACACTTGTGGTGCTTGCTTTCAAGACTAAGGGTTTGAAGATTTAAGTTGTTATTGCAATATAACAACAAGAGGTATGTGATCTAACCTTATATATGAATTTCGAAAATAGCATGCTACATTAGGGTTTTATCCATGTGATCATAATGTTGTGTATCTGATAGTGAAAACATAGATCCAAATTAGGGTTGCATGCACACATAGGATTGTTTGTAGTAATCCCATCAGTGGTATCAGAGCCTTTGGTTAACTTGTTTTCAA